CCGAAGTCTGATTGCAGCTATTTTTCAAGTGGCAACCCTCAACTTTCTCGGGCACTTAGGACCATTTTTCAACCGTAGTTTTCAGCCCTTCTGCCCTCATATGAAAGTTCAAAGACCCAGGGAGTTGATCCTGGTAACGATTTACACAATCTCACCATTTTGGGGGCCAAACAATCTCCTTTTTCAAAAGATACTGTGGGTGGGGGCACTTTTAATGCTAATGAGCTGGTCAGAAATTCTCACTTGAATTAGTGGTCTGCACCCCCAAGGCATTGACTAGGACCTAGACTCAACATTGGCTACTCAACTACAACACTGTTGTAAATATTAAAGGCATGCAAAGGCAGGGTCTGATCAATTTCGCACCGCATTTAGTAATTTCATTAAAGATGCAGCAGATTTTTAGCACTTCACATAATTAAAACGTACTGTTCCTAAACCGTAAGAGCTCTGTGTTTGACTCTACAGTGCATATGCACATTTGTCTTGGTTGTCTTTGATACTGGTGCTAATTGAAATGCAGAACAGTGATACATGTACAACTAAGCACAAAATATGGGAGATGTTAGTGAAACTAAATGTTATTAACTGGTTTCACATGACTTACCATTATGTATGGACCATGGATGCTTCTGTTTTATGAATTTGTTGAAATATTGGCATTGGGGAGTTATAGATCTTAAATATTGGGTCTGCTTTAACATCATGCAATGGTCATGTACCTGTAATTGCATTTATAGTTGAAGGAAATTAAGTTTTAGAACAGTTTGTATGTAATAACAGAAATGTCGCCAGAGACTGATTGACAAGAACTTTCTAGTTGCTGGAATGACCTTCTTGTCATGGGATATGATGTCATTGCTTGATATGCATGTGTGAATTACACATTTGTTCATCTTGTATGAAAGCTATTTCTGTTTAGTCTCAAAGTCTGTCCCTAAGATGCATGAAAATTCTAAATGCAAATATATAGAATGTGGAGTTATTAAAAAGTCACTTTTAGCCTATTTACAGAGGGATGGAAGAAGTCCCTTGCATATCTTGTTTAGTTACATGTATAATATGCCCGTTTGATATTTACAAGACTTTAAATACGAGTCTGCATATGGAAGCATTGATGGGGCGTACCTGTGGCATGTATTGCTGTTTCTCAGATGCACTTCAGTGTGGGCATGTTCTCTTGGAATATCACATGGGCGTATTCAAATTGTTATTTAGTCTTTCAAGTAGTTTAGCTGCTACCTCAAATATACCCTGGTAGGGAACATGCATTGTATTAATGTTTTTGTGAATCTCGTACCACCCCAAGCCTTACCATTTTGTTCCTGAACTTGGATGAAGACAGTGCTTGGGAAGTATCACTATGTGTAGACATTGCAGGGACAACTGTATATGTACTTTTCCCACTTTTGGGATAGAACGAATTTAAACTAACTGAGTAGCTGTACCTGTTGTATTTCTTGGCACCTGTAGATGAGGTAGCTCCAGGCACTAAGGGTCCAGGACAGACTGGTAGTGGTACACCAGGTGGGGGCAGCACAGTCAGCAGTACAGGTGCAGGGGAGGCTGATCATGTTGTTATTATGCCAGAGGAAGAACCACCTGCTGAGACTGAGCCAGCAACAGATCAACCACTCAAAACAGTCAAGAAGGTTAGTTCAAACTTTGGTTGTGGTTTTTTTTTTCATTTGTAAAGTTTGCCCTGAAATACCCGAGAGAGGAGGATTTTACACTTTGGTTTTCAAATGTGAAATTTATCTCAATGTTCTTTTTAGAGTTGGGTTGGAAGGGTTAAGGAGACTGTGCAGTTTCATGACAGTGGAAGAAAATTGAACCCTCTCATGCACTTGACTTTTTTTTCATAATTCTAACAAATTACTAGTGTTCTAAGTTCCTAGCAAAATCATTACCAGTACCTTCAGTTTTGTGGCTAGACTGCAGTTTTACCACGTTTGAAATATTCTATTTGCATTATTGCCTATGCAGCACATATATATTGATTTTTATCATAAATCGTAATTTGAATATTAACTTTTTTGGTAACACCACCGGATAACACCACAGAAGTTCAAGCGAATGGTTGCATTTGGTATAAAGCATATCAAGTACATCCAGGTTGGTATGGTGTTGTAGAAGAGTTTTTTAGATGGTTCTGTACATTCAACTTTTGATTCTATTATGATTTTTGCTTCTATTTGTTTTGATCATATTTGCAATTGATACAGGCAGAGGAAGCTGTGTCTGGTTTCATGTCCGGTGTACAGTGTGTGTCATACGTATGTGTGTTGCCATTGCAAACCTTTTTGATGTTGTACATAGTGTTTATTATTGGTGCTGCATACATTTATCGTATGTTTTGGAGTGGGATTTTGGTGGTTTATTTTGTGGTTTGTTCCTAGCAGAATGGTGGAGGGTAAAACGCACAGGTGAAAATTTCCTTTCCAGCTTCATTGGTGCTACAAAAAAATCATTGTGTAAAAAGGATTACGTTACAATACAGTGAGCGATTTATCAGTGAGCAAATTTGCTATGCACTTTTTTTGTTTGCATATCAAACATTGACTTTGTATAGCAACTGGTCAATTTTATTCAGCAGTTTCTGTTGTAATTTAAAACACGTTAAAACACTAAGCTTGAGTTTTGTATGTCGATTATTGTTCGCCATTTTGGCCATCACGCATGCAAAAATGTTCCAGAATCATCCACAGAAGAATTGCGTTATCACTGGCCCCCAAGCAGGTACAACGGCAAGTAATTTACGTCATAACCATGTCATACTGCGGTACCAATGTGTACATATTGTATCGCAAACCCTGGCGATCCATTTTTAATACTGGATCACTGATTGTCCAAAACATGTCGCATTTTGTGATGTGATACAGGGGAAATTGCTCACTGCTATAATGCATACAATTAGAAAAACACATCTACCATCGGAGAATCTTTTTACAAAATGCCTGTTGAATAGTTACCTGAAGTACACACAGAAATAATTGATACATATGAATTCAGTAGCAGAGTATGTTCATGGTGACTCACATTAAATTTTTGTCCGTTTTGAAACTTTTATTACCACACATGGACTGAAATTTAGCAGTTGATAATTCCACTTATTGTGTACAACTACCTATACTTGCTATAAAACACAAACAAAAAAATGTTTCAAAAGATAATGAGGCTTTAATTACAGCGTGATTCGCATTACAAAAAGTGGTAAGCAGTAAAATCTGCTTAGGTTTAAATCAAATTTCTCCTCAGACTATAAATTAGGTAAAGCAACATATAGTTTTAACAGACTCACAACACAGTATTTGTACATCACCTAACTCGGTATGCTTTTCTCAACAAGTTTAGAAAAAATGGTCACATAATCAGCATGTCTGGCATTACCATGACTCGCGTTACCTCAAAATTAGCAGTGATCATGCACACATTAACTTGAAATCGATGATTCAACAGGTGCCATGCTTGCGCATTTGCAGTGAAAAGAATACATAAAAATATTTGACAAGGAACACTTACACTTTACATTATGAGCAGTATAAAATCTGAACATTAAAAAATGACTGTGATAAATCGAAATTTGACGTATGCACACCTTTTTTTCAAACCAACATAAGTAGCTTTTAAATGCTGCCATGGGAAAATGTAAGCTAAAATCCTAAGGCATCACTATGTGGTTAAACAATCACACTTTGTGTCAAGAAGTGGTAATTGCCATGGTGGTTGACAGTGAATGGTGGCTTTACCTTTGTCACCAGTTTGTCAAAGGTATAAAGAATCTCATCTGGGAAAGTGGGTCGCTTCCAAGCCGGTAATGGTTTGGTAAATTTGTCTTCCAAGCGCAGCATCATTGCAATTTACAAGTGCATTACATATTTTTGTTGCAATCTACACACTATAAATGTATTTCAATTTTGGCGAGGGGACGTCAGTTACCTCATCCCCAATTAGAATATGATAGATCATCCAGTTACCGACTTACAAAATTCATTGTCTGTTTTGGACACAACATTCGAATTGCTCCTGAATTCCGGGGGAGCTCTCTGATTGGTCAAGATTCCAGAAGGATATATTATTTATGAGCAGTCTTATGCAGCACATGCTCCAGACCGCTTCTCAAGGGATATTCTCATTGTGTATCATTAATATTTGTACATGTACATGTACATGTGTCACAGAATGTAATGATTCAAACTGAGATCAGAGAAGACAAAGTCGTTAGTAAAACCCCATTCCACTGAGGCAGTGGAGATAAGCATTGTAAAACCTGAGCAAATACAATGTACAATCTTTAAGCAGTGACCTCAACAGCAGGGATAAATGTACATTCAAATTCCTCAACATGCATGCCAACGGATATGCACCAACCAATACTGACAACAATACAACTACATCTTAACTTAGAGGGTTTTTACTTCCTGCTGCGTAACATTACAGAATTAACTCTATGACATAATTAGGTACATGTAAAATTAAATGTTTCGAAACAATGTTTTATTTCAATTCACAATTGACCCCGTTGAGTGTACTGACTGTTAAATGTTGCGAGATCTGCACATTTGCCATGATGTACTGAGAACAAATCCTCATTTAACTGATGAATAAATCCTCTCAATTGTATACCTTTTTGCCATTGGATCTCACTACAGAAATCATTTCATATATATGCATGATACATTTATGTATTGCACTGTCATATGTGAGTAACGATGTTGTTGGATAAGTCACAACTTGACTGAAGTTCACAGACAAAACATTACTTTCTAACAACTTATCGTCAAGTCTAAATTTTGGCCCACTGGCTCCATGAAAGAAACTAGGAAATCGCCATTCCCAATTTTCTTAACTTCCATGGATAGCATTTGCCCTCATACATGTACCTCACAAACCATCAGTCTCTTACAGCTGATGGGCAACTTCCATTATGACTTGTGTTACCCCTACCCTAAATGCTGTGACTCATGTTTACATATATGTACACTGAAGGAGGTTTATAATTGTCAACCTCAATATCCCTGGGGTTTATATCTACTTTCTGTGTCACCTCTACTTGATTCAGTAGGTCTGTCCTGAAAAAGCTAGAATGGATAGGGAATTTTGTCATAAAATGTAATGAGCAGCAGACCTCATGAAACTATGTCAAAAGTTAGTCAGCATAAAGAAGAAATGGGGCTGTTTATGTGGGTTGAAATTCAGTAATTTCCAAACATTATGTTTCAATGGTGAATTTTCATGTAAAAAGCTAGCAATCATCAGTTAAGGAGTTATTCCAAAGCTTAAGTCAATCTACCATCATAAAAAATTCAGAAACTCAGTGGAATAAAATTGAGTATATTTCCAACTTTGCTTGGAAATACCCTGTAAACCTTTGGTACAAACAAATATAGGAACTGAAAGGGTAGGAAAGGTTGTTTATGCCAAAGAGTACCAGAAGGCTTCAAATAAAGTAACAGCTTCATATTAGGTAGTGGATAACTGTACTTAAACATATTAAAAATCCTAACTATTTGTACAAAATTGGTGTGGGAAAAGTCTCTAAAAGTGAAAAAAAATAGAAAATAAACACCAATCTAATATCCTGGGTTTTTCAGGGAAAAAAAGAGAATCAAAAAAGTTACTTTTTGATCTTGGCCCAATTTCCCAAGCACTTTTCAAACCGACAAGTACGGAGTATTGCTGTATACAGCAATTACAGGTTTTTTGTACATATAGTCCGCTCAGCTTAAGATTTGACCTAAATCTGAATGCTGTAGAAATCATTCAGATTCCCGTTGACATATTTATACATTTTTGAAAATGTAAAGGCAAGATATGAACATTTAAATGTATGTGGAAAAAATTTTATGTCTACGCACACATGGTGAGCTTGCCTGGGAGTTTTCAAAGGCCTATGATTCCAAAATCAAAGCTCATGTGTGGTTTATTTTCCTTTTGCAGACAGACCTTTGCCCAAATAATAGGAACAGAGTATCATAAGCCCCTAATAAACACACCTTCAGGCTGACAAGGGCAAAAGCTGCCTATAAATATAATGTTGCTGTGGTCATTTAGATCAAGAACGATTATGGAGCTCAGTTTGGAGTTTGCAGCACTGGCACATGCTCTTTTTTCAAAGCCCTTTTTTCTTGAAAGGTAGTTTTGATGACCACAGCAATGTTTCCCGTCATTTTTTTCACGTCGTATTTTTGGAGCGGCGTTGCCTAAGAGTATAAATGTGGTATCACTAGAAAGCCCATTCCTTTCTCTTTATTCTCGTATGCATATCTCAAAAAGTCATTAATGGGGAACTTTCCTCAATATGCCATTGCAGGTGACACTTTTTTAAATTGTGGTGAAATGTAACATACGTGTAATTCATCTTGACTTTCCTCTTGCATAATTTTCTAATAAATTGTAAATGTGTATCTTTGCTTTAATACCCAAGCATTTCCCAGATAAGCAAGCCTTTTTGATTTCAGCTTTCGGAAACCTGATATTGCTTTTACAGAGTAAATGTGTGTCCTGGCTGCTGCATTCCTTGCTGTCTGATGCTTCTAGTGCAGACATAATCAATTTATTGAAACTGCCTTCTCCTCTCTTTGCTCCAATGCTTCCAACACCCTAAGAAGTCATTCCTTTCTAAGGTTTTTATAATGCTACAACATCTAAATAATTTTTATCCCTGGGAACCCTAAACCCCTTTTTGTATGCATTCAATTGAAATTCCAATCAACTAGCTGCATGGCAGGATTTGGTTAGGGGAAGAATAAAATTTTAAATTTTTTTTATGAAAGGCTGGCTAAAGTCATGATCATCTGAAGAAATTAGAGGTTGCATGTCACTTGGTTTGCAGATGGCTGAATTTTGGGGAAAAAAATTGGACACGCAAGTTAAAATCAAACATTGCTAAGAGATTACTGAATTACATGTAGATCCTCAAACATACAGCCATCAATTTGGAGAGGAAATATTTTGAAGGGTTATGTGATTCAAATTGTTTTAATATAGGTTAACAGGAACTTTGTTCGAGTTTGAGTGGGTTTTGAAAAAATAATCCTGAAGTCACTGGGGAACCTTTGGGAGTGTTTGCATTACATGACATAACAGTCATTCACACTTGCCTATCCATTATTTGAGTAACATGCCTGTGCACATGTGCATTTATCTAACCTTAATACGTGGATATTTAATTGAGTAAAGGTATAATGAATACTAACAACTTTCAATTCTTGCAATGTATCTACATTTAGCTAGCTTCCTCTGATATGGACATGCCATTTATTCCGGTAAATGAATGTTATTTTTCCTTTTTTTTTCTATGTGGTCTTGTTTTATTGTGCATCATGTTACTATTATTTTGTAGTATACTGCTTTGTAAAATATCATTGTGTCTTCAAGAACTGTATATTGTGTTAGCTTTCAGCTTCAGTATTATGTATACAGTGGACTCTCGCTATTATGAAATTCACAGGACCTGATGAAAATGTTCACTATATCCAAAATTTGCCGTATGTGGAGTGCAGTGGCTTGCAGTCTTGGGATCACCACATGTACAGATCCTAATGTGTATGCAAGACTTAGCATATAGTACGTGTATGTGGACATGAGCAATGTTCAAAGAAACTGTTAAGAATGCTGTGTAGTATGTGAGTCATCAAATCTAGCGTGCAGTTTGAATAATAAACCTTAATGAGAATACCAAGACCAATTATCAATCAGTAGGTAATTTTTCCCACAGAATTTGTGTCTTGGAGAGACATTTTATTGTCTGTTTGTTTGTAATGTTTGTAATGTGACTCCAATTTGTTTTGGAGGGGGGCCAACCTTTGTTGGAATTTCAAACAAATTATGAACAACCATGAGTATATAATCGATAACACATCAAAGCTGACATTAAGCTAGTTCTTTCTGAGCAGTTTGTCTGATCTGAGTGTGATGCTCTGATGTCTATACAGTATTTTGTGATTGGACAGTTACGGTACATCGGGCAAAGCATACATCTTATCTTACCCAAAATTCTTTGTTGTATGAATAAGTCAGTGGTGGGTGACAAGTTACTTGTTATGAGGGATTAGTTACGATTTTAACAATTTTCTGAGCTTTGGGTCAAGGTGAATTAACTTTTTGTAGACTATGGAAGAGAGGTTTAACTAATAGCACCTTTATCTTTCATACATGTACTTTTTATTTTTCTTCTATGGAACGAGGGTTATGGTTTGGGGATTGTGTTGTAACTGTGGTCTTCTTAGAGTTATATGAATGGGTGATATGGCAGGGGATTCAGTAAGTTATCAGGGATTTAGGAAAGCTGTTGTAAACCTGATTGTTCCCTGTATATGATTTCCCTTTGGGGAAATCACACACTGCATGGATGACTGGATGCATCACCAGTGCCTATGCATTTGATAACTGGCCGTAGTTGGTAACCACAGTGGACAATTAGCAACTGTGCACAATGCAACAATAAGCACCTTCACTTGAAAAGATTCCACATCAGCCCAAGACTTAACAACTGAAACGAGATACCCCTATTCATGACTAACTCTGCTTGCAATCATGTGATCCAGGATTTATAAACACTCATAAGTGGGTCACAAAAAAGTTTTAAATGTTTGTTGTATAAAAGGAATTTTGTGCTATGCAATTTCACTACAACAGATTTCCTCCCCATAGGAATGTGCATATTGTTGCCAGGATCAATGATGTGTGCTGTTTATAACCAGAATTTCACCATAACTGAGTTCTTAATAACGAGAATTGATGGTATCCAGCCTCTGTGCTTGTAGTCAGTTTTCCTGTTTGACCTTTTGGAAACCTGCCCAATATGATAATGCTTGATTCATATACTTGTTACATGTCTCAAAATGGCAAAATTTTAATCTTCAAAACATTATGAATGCCGTAACCATAACCTGTTTCTTATTAATGTGATTTTTAAATAAGCTAATACAGTAATTCAGAGAGGCAAGATTATTAATGAGAAAAGCACCTGAAATTTGTACTACCTTGCCAAGTCACACTGAATATGTTCAGAGAAGATTTTTTTTTTCTTCCAGCACTTTCACTGTGAGTTGCTGTACACTTTGTGACTTGTGTTCTAAGTTTATGCCCTTATTCATACACACATGTACCAAATCAGCTTCCAGTTCAACTCGTAAGACATCTGCCCATATACAGTGTTTGTGTATGCAGTTTTTACTATTTCCAGAAACCTAGCCCAGGGTTTTTTAGATCAGGGATACCTGATCTAGATGCAAAGCTGTTGGCATTTAAAGACCAGTGGATGGATCCGATTAATGTAGGAATACATGTACATTGGTGTTTTTCACACCATGATCTTCATATGACCAGTGAATGAATCTGATATACTGCATGAATGCTACTTTCTACACCTGTACTCTCACGTGGAGATTCCAAAAATTATGAGAAATAAAGGCAGGAATAGTTGTGTATTGTGCTATTTGCACTAAGAGATGACATAGTGCTGGAGTATGTTTAATGAGCTACTATAGATGAGGTTTAAGAAAGGTTGTCACTTAAAATATATACATACCAGTCTTTAGTGTGTAGTAATTCCTTTTGATGTAATCAGTGAAGCAGTTGAATAAGATAAATATGCATTTACACATTTATTTTTTATTTCTATGTACAGTAATGTGTATGAGGCTTTTTCTGAATCTCAGCTTTGTCTCTCTTCAACTTCTAGTCCTCGTGTTTGAGAACCTCAGATGAAGTGTAGCCTTCATTCTCTACTAAACAAGCAACAATTTGATTCAAGACAAATGTTTGAGTCTAATAGTGAGCATTGAATTTGATAATGGAGTTTGAAGACAGCGTCAGACAAAGAGAGCCAGGATTTTAAAAAAAGCTAAACACAACAATACATGTACACATGCAGGTTGAAGCTAGGTTTATGCTGTATTAACATAATAGCATTATATCTTGTAGGTTTGTACACATCGTCTGCAGCATGAACATGTACAGGTAGTGTCTTTACAAGATTGCTATTGATCATGATATTGACAGTACTAATTGAATTCTTTTCTTTTATCCTGTTTTGTCCCTTGATGTGATTTTCAAATTCTCAAATAGGAGGTGAATGAAGATGAGATAGACTGGTGGTCTAAGTACTATGCATCTGTTGGTGAAGTGGAGAAATGTGGTGACTACCTAGAGCGAGGATACGACACACTGGAAGTGAGTTCATGCATATACATGTACTACAGTGTCACTTATACTTGCTCTCAGTGATTATGATTGTTGTCAGCTTTAATTCAATTGTTGCTATTGTCTACATCAATGTGAAGTCCACATTTGAGCTTCTCATAAACTAAAAATAATATGAAACATTAACTTTTCATTCATTTGCCAGGTTGGGTTGATATAAATTCCTTTTGTTGGTTATTAGATATTTCCTGGCCCATTGGAGAATGTGGAGCCGTACAGTGGATTCAGTGATTTCTGCAACACCTATGAGCTAAGCCGTGGTAAAAGCAGTGATAAAGATGATGAAGAATCCAGTAATGTGGGAGAATTCAAAGTGAGTCTTGAGGACTTCATGTTGGTCAATGATTCAGAAGCAGCCATGCAAGAGGGATGACTAGAATAATTCATGTACATGTATACCTTTATGTGTATCATAACCTCTCTGCAGGTTACAGGGTAAGGTTAAAGTGTCCCTTAAAAAAGTTGAGGTCATTTTAAGAAATGTTGAATTGTTCATAATTTGCGAAGTGAGACAAGGCCATATTTATTTAGCTCATTCAACATCCACTTCCACTGTTCTTACACATGTATATTGTAATATTGTATGTATACAATGCAGGGATTATTCCGTATCTATCCTCTGCCTGGAGACCCTAAGGCACCACTACCACCTAAGGTATTTAAGCATCTACCACCAAGCAGCCCTGTGGAATGTGTGATACGTCTGTATGCCATCAAGGCTATTGATCTTCAACCACAGGACCCCAGTGGATTGGTAAGCAACACACAAACCTGTCACTGAGAAAGCAGTATCCACACACTTGGTTTCCTGATCCACCAAAGATTGTGGATAGGTTTTTTGCCTGCATTGTCATATAATTATGAGACACACAAAGATTTGCATACATCAAGGTTATGAAAGTATCATGGCAAAGGCTTACACACTGTCAGATACCTATGACAAGATAAGTCTTACACAAAGGCTTACACACTTTCAGATGCCTATGACAAGATAAATCTTACACAAAGGCTTACACACTGTCAGATACCTATGACAAGATAAATCTGCATTGATGTCCATGGATGTTGAGACTCAAAGTAAGATATTAAATGTGATGCTTAATAAAGATGGATCATAATTCACAACAGAAATTCAATGTGAAAACCATTTTATTTCCAGCAAATACTTACATTACACACTAGTGACAGCAACCATGCTTCCCATTTAACACTGAAATCTACAAAGTAAGGAATGCATTATTATGAAGCCATGTATCCATCAGCTCTACCCGGTGCGGCTTGTTTCAAAGTCAGTGTTAATAATTTATTATTTTTCAGTCCGATCCATATTTGAAAGTGCAGTTGGGCAAGAAGAAGATCAGTGAAGACGATGACTACATCCCGAACACTCTTAATCCAGTGTTTGGAAAGTGAGTATTGATGATTACAGATCCATGTAGGTCATGTGATGCAATAGAATTATTGGTTGGCAGGCTGAGTTATTGTGGAAGCATGATTGGCAATCCAAACTGCAACATCATCTTTTGACTGCAGAGCAGATAACAAGCTTCTTTCATTTACTGCAATGGGCAAGTGTTGTGATTTGGTCTGGTCATATATCATACATATTAGACATATGTATGATAGAAATGGTGTGTATTGCCTTCCTGGCTCCTCTGTCCTCTGGGGTTTATATAAAGAGCTTGTCATTTTGAAGGTTCATCATCTGCCATGTGGATTATGTGCTCGAGGAACTTCAGCTGTTAAGCCCTTATACGGTTTACAAAATGGCCTGAGTTGGTCAAAGTGTAGATGGGCACAATGGTCACGTGATCAGGATGCTTGTAACATCAGAAGTTCAACCGAACTGTAATTTGTTCATATTAATTTGCATATATTTATTTGTGTGACTGATTCGTTACTCAAATGTGATTGTATGGAGGCAGTTAGTACAATTTTGTTGTGCAAAATTTTGCATTCCTTAGCAATACAGTATCAAAGTACACCTGTCGTCTGTCTGTATTATTAAGAGCATTCAGTAACCATTAATTGGCCAAAATGTCAAAGTACCCAGAGATGGAATTGGATGTTACCGACCTCACTGAAGAATTTCAGTTGTTTAGGCAACACGTGACCCTCTTGCTTACAAGATGCAGTCAAAATCAAGATTGCTGCAGGGAAATGAGCAGCTAATGCACATAAACACAGCCAGCCTCTCTGAAGAAGTAAAAGAAGACCCTAATAAACTGTGGGCGCTGTTTGAAGACCAATTGCTAATTAAAGTAATTTTCTGTGTCTATCAAATGAACTCATTTCATAAATAGCTCCTTAATGAACCACTGAATTGCACTGCCTTCACAACCTTCTTATGAAGGCCGCAAATATGAAGCCATTGTAGTAAGCAAGAAATGCCTCCAAAACCTGTCCAAGGGCAGTGCTTCTGTCGATGCAATGCAGCATTCGAGTAGAGTGTGTTCCAGTTGCGGTCTTTCTCACAGGCTGCACAGATGCCCTTTATATAATAACACGCACAAATCATGCAGATCCAAGAGCCACTGGGTAAAGTTTTGCCACAAATCTAAGCGCAAGCAGCGTAACACAAACTCCTCTCACAGGCAGCACTGCATTGCAAAGCAAAGTATCATCATGAGGCGAAGGTGGCAGATTTAAAAGCTTCACAAGCTCTCATTGTCTAGATCACATGGCTGATAAGAGACCGGGCCGACCGATTGAAGAGCAACAAGAGGAGCATTCCCTAGAAAACCTCTTCTAATCCATCCACATATCCAACCTCAGCATGACTCCCGTACAGTAACTTGGGACTGATGAGGCATGTTGAAATTATTATTTCTAATAACGACACCAAGGATTCCTCAAAAGTGCCCAAGGCACTGTAGCTCTCAAGCCTGAAGAAACCCGTAGAGAGGAGACAGTGAGAAGCAGTTACAGTTTTAGGGTTTGGAGGAAAATTCTAGAGGAACACTCTGGGTAAAATCCACAGAATTAGGTAGGGACTGAAATCCCAATCCACATGTGGACTGGGCCAGGATTCTAACCCATATAGCAGAGGTGGAAGGCGAGGAAAGAACCACCACACCAACCTGACTCCCTGTCATGTGCCCAGATATACTTGGATAAAACACAGGTGCTAGTGCAAACACACTCCCTGTTTGCACCATCAGACAAATGTACAGAGACCTGCATCACCAGACCTGCTGAAGCCAGGCTCACAGCCTACAACTTTTAACAGTTTTGTTAACTCTCTTGTAACTTAGTATAGTACTGTTGAATGTTTTGACTAAAGATGTGAAATCCTTTGAATGTCAGAACTATATTTAAAGCATTATTAACAACAGGCTGCTTCTACACATGGTGTGCATGTCACAGCTGACTTGGGGTAGACGAAGTAATGATATGTAAAATTAGCCACACCTTATGCATTACAACTTTTATCTTCGAAAAGGTGGGGATGTTGTGAAAGGAACTATCTTTTATGCATATGTACACATAAATCACTCATTCATAAGCTCTGTGAAAGCATGGAACTCCCCCCCCCATGTCATTTTTATCGCCATCTAATATCTCTTCAGGCATAGGCCTTGTATGGACAGTTTGTGTTCTGTTTTCTGACCTTCCTGTGCTGGCAGGTATACAAAGGTAGCAGAAATGCATGATTGTCAAACCTGTTATATTGATACGGACATCCTTTGTCATTGCAGGATGTTTGAGATCAAGACATTTTTGCCAGTTTACAAGGACCTGACTGTGTCTGTATGGGATCATGATCTCTTGAGCAAGGATGACATCATTGGAGAGACAGTGATTGACTTGGAGAATCGCTTTTTGACCAAGTACCGTGCCAGCTGTGGCCTACCGCAGTCATATTCTGTGTAAGAACTAAACCTTTCTGTTTGATATGGCTTTGAAGATTAAAACAACCAAATTATTACCGTTGATACAAACAAAAGTAAATTTGTACATGTTCCTCACCATTATATGAAGCAGAGTTTTTGTGTTTGAAAGACAAAGCTGAATAAAACTCTGTTTGCCTTGTTCTTGTGTGTGATTGCGTGTGTCCATCTATATGTGTCCGCAAACAGATTTCCAACTATACCTCAAGAAGGGTTTGGTATGTTGTTTTCAAACTTAATTTGTGGGTTGGTCTTTATGTTGTTCAGAAGCCAATGGATTTTAGATCCTAAAGGTCAAGGCCATATTACTAGAACAACAAAAGGAGTTTTTCCCACCATGATTTGAGGATTTGGACATACATTTATGAAACTTTATACATGCCTTGGTGTCCTCATAAAGTTTATTGATTTGGAGTATCTAGATTCAAGATCAAGGTCATTGTTACAACAAAAGAACTGGTGTTACCAGTGGAGACAGCTTTTCCTCTTCACAAATTAAATCATGGGTTTAGCCATGGGCTTGGCTGAGAATTTGTGTTTTACTTGTTTGTATCTAAAATACCCAAAAGGCACACAGTCATAGGAGTCTTTGAAGGTGGCAGTCCCTTAAAACACTTTAACTGATACAAAATCTGGAAACTGCTGACTGACATGTGGAGTGATGGTGACCTCTTGGTGAAGAACATTGGAAATCAATCTGTGGGTAAAGCTGTAGGTTGCAGGTTTAAATCCAGCCTGGGGTTAGGTAAGGTAGTTGTCACTCATTGCTTCTTCCAACCCAGGAGTAATTAGGTATCTCTCAACACAGAGATGGTTATTGTGGTTGATGCAGCTGCTTTGTGCCAAAATGGCTGCTTCCAGCTGTATACTCCGTAGGGAGCTGAGATAGCTAAGATTTGGAATACTTAATGGGCCCAATGAGCAGGCTTAATAATAATGGAAAGTGTTTTGATCTTTGTTAAAAGTGCTCTATAAAAACTTTTTTTTTAACCAGGAGGAAAGAAAATAATTTCAGCAAACTCTCGGCGAAATGCTTACCTTTATTACTTCCAAGGGTCGATCCTGAATGTTCAGTCACACACTGATCTGTTGATATCTGGTCGTTCATGTTTTACAAGTTTCCCCGGTTATTCTCTCACTGGTAATAAATAGGCTACTTCCATGAAATCTTTGTCATTGGACAGGAGTGGACCAAACAAATGGCGTGACACACAGAAGCCCATGGAAATCCTAGATGATTACTGCAAGAAAAACAACATTCCAGGACCCTTCTATTATGGCGCTACAAAAGTCAGTGTTGATGGAAAGATGTACAATCTTGCTGACTTTGGTGAGATGAAGCTTCTGATTTCTATTTTAGGTTCTCCTTTATGTTTAAGTTATGCTTATTTGCATGTTGTGTGTATTGATGCTTATTTGCATGTAGTGATGCATGTGTAAGTTAAAAATGTCAGTTATGATAAAGTTCCATACATATGCTGAGAATTGTAATCAATACGATTCAAAATCCATACATATTGTAATGTCTCTCACAGGATACAGAAAAGTTGCCAAAAATACCGGTAATGATGCATGTAGAGAGTCATTGGATTGACTTGCACACAATACTGATTTATTCTGAAGAATTATTTACATCGCCTCTTATTTACAATGATCAAGTTCTGTTTAGATTGGATATTTCTGTATGGCATGTTCATCATAGGAACAATGATCAGAGTACAGTTTGTCCAAATCTAAGCTGTTAATTCAGGAGTGACAGACGGGTTATTCATGACAGGCTAGACGCTCATGAATGGACAAGGAGTTGTTTCTCCGGAGCTGCCCGCTCAGAAATGATCGATGCTGACCGCTGGAGCTGGTCGTTTTATATACTTTCGGGGTCGCGTCTTAGCCAATGGGAGCACTGGATTGGGGTGGTTATGAATTATTCATGTATGTAGAAAGTCTATGGAAGAAAGTCTATGGGGATTTTGTGCACACTTGGTCTTTGCTGACTTAGTTTCTGGAGAGCAATAAAATTCGAGAAGTTTGGGACTGGAAGAGTGAAAGGCTGCTCGCGGGTGAGCTACGGGGGACTTGGTCAACGAGGGAAAGGAAAGGGTGAGCCTTTCTCGGTACGTTGAGTTGTGTACAACACTTGGTCTCTGGATGGCTTGGAAATCTACGCACATGGGGGTAGAACTGGGGGTGAGTGGAGGTAATTGACGTTGCTGTACCATGACCAGACACAGGCTTTCAGTGTGTAGTTTGATGGGACACATACATGTACGCTATGCACGGTTCCCAAACTTTGTTTTTGTTTTCCAGGCCTGAAAAAGTCATGGACTTTGGTAAAAATGCCTAAAGGCATGGAATTTTTCAAGCACTGTGTGTGATTTATGTTATCAGAAATAAGTGCCAAATGTGTGATTTTATTTGCAACTTTAAAAGTGCAAAGACTAAGAAATTGCAGTATTGGGTCATGGATTTTCGTAATTTGGTCATGGAAAAGTCATGGAATGTAATTGTCCTTTACGGGCAGGATCCCCGACTATCAAGTTAGGGTCTGTGTGGGTCGAATGTACGGGTCATATGTATGACTGAAAGTAGGATGGTAGGTTTGAAATTTGCTACGGAGTAGCAGTTCAAGGGCATGTCACAGAATAGTACAACTGGGTCCCGCGTGGAATGCAATGCGCCATGTACAATGCATATAATGTGAATGGTCATTGCGCACTTGCTACAGACTGAGTGCGTGGTTTGTGTAGTAGAAATAACGTGTACGCCATAATCTATTTGCATATTGGGGAACAGTGTGTAGGAACCTAACAATATGTTTGGCATGTCTACACAACTTCATTGTGAACTCATATTAAATATGAGATATTTAAGTTATTATAAATGCATATGCTATACATGTACCTAATGGTTTTAAGAGCGTGTACTTTATGATTTTTAAGAGTATTCATCTTCAGGCAGTTGCATGTCCCTTTTCCCATAACAGAGAATTCAAATTAACAACAAAACAAACCAATGAAACTATGAAAAGACTACATATTCAGTGTATTAACATTTATAAAAAAATAAAGGATTTGGTAGAAAAATTGATTTGGAATGTTACCTGTCCACATACCGTAATTTTCGGAATACAAGCTGTGTGGCGTATAAGCCACAGCAAGCAAAAATTGGCAAGTTAAGATTAAAGTTCTTGTATTAGCTGCACCAGCCTATAAGCCACACCATAGCAGTGACAATCCAACCAGAAAGGTCGTCATGCTGCATGCTGAAGCACCAGTAGAGTCCATCAATTTTCCAATACACATGCAATCCTAATAAATCTAAACAGAGTGCCAACGAATGCCACCATTAAAAATGAATTAATAATTATTGCAGGCTGGATGATTTTCCTATCTTGGGCCATGCAGCAACTCTTGCCCTTTTTTCCAAGCATCCAGCAAAAGTTATGCAGATGGGGATGTAGAATAAAATCTTGATAACTTGAAGTCAGTTAAGTCAAAAGACCGGTGTATCTCATAGGCCAACTTTTTGATAACTCAAAATCAGTATCTGAAAGGCTGACCTTTTCTCGTTAAAAGAATATGATTTTACGTACAAAAATTACCTTCATAACTCTAAATGTTCACAACACTACATCCAGTTATCTCGAAGTTTTTGTGACTCCGTTTAAAAACACTGCCAAATCACTTCAAAAATAGTAGGTAAAGGACCGCCGCGAGACCCTGGTTTGAGTCATCACTGCCAAGCCTGACCGCCTGTGTTGCATGCAGGCTGCATGGCACACGCACTGCATTCATCACCCTGCACTGACTGCAACAAATCCTGCTTTCAGGCTATCCTGACTGCTGCTGCAGACCCATTCATGCACAGTCCAATCACTGACTCTTTCCAATAACCACATGACCACAGAGAGTGATGTCATAAAAAACCCTAGTGAAGAAAAACCCGAAACTTTGTGGCACGCCATGCTGAATATGATCAGCAAAAATATGAGATTTGCTACACAAGGTACCAGGTACACGTACCATTTAAGCAGTTGATATCTATATACCGGTAGAAAGAAACCTTTAGATAGCAAGTAAAAAGCGGGAAATAATCACTTAAAGTCAAAGTCACAGCAGAGCAAGTAAAGTTTGTTATTACATACACAGTTCATGTATGTTTTGTGACTCCATGACTTGGGAAATTCTATTTAATAATTCAAAATCCAGACAACTCAAATTTCTATTTATTTTCCAACTCCCACAAACTTCGAGTTATGTAAATGCCAACCCATGAAAACATGAATGCACCACCAGCACACGGTACGTGTTGCCCGGGCTTGGCTTTTGTGACTGGTTTTTATCCTTCAAAGTTTGCCATATAAGCAACTTGGCGTATAAGCCACAGAGACACATTTCGGGCATGAGAATCAACGTATAAGCCGTGGTTTACATGTATATTCCGAAAATTACAGTAATTGGTGTCTGGGTGAACATGTTTCAAGTCTGGTACGTATCATCAGTATAACTGTGTACTTTCCTTGTTGTAATTTGACAGAGCTTAACAAAATCCACACTGATCATGAAGGGCCTGCAGATGAACGCCTAGCTTTGTATGTTCTACGTGCCCAGGGATTGGTCAAGGAACATCTTGAGACAAGACCTCTCTATAGCCCACTTCTGCCTGGCATCGAGCAAGGCAAACTGCAAATGTGGGTTGATATCTTTCCATTGAATCTTGGTCCACCAGGTGAACCAAGGGACATCATGCCACGCCAGCCAAAGAAGTGAGTTCTTGTAGAATAATCAAAGTAGGCATACAGTGTATATTCACCTTTTTCGTCCATGGTCTGCAATTAATTTGAATTGTTAAATACTCCAGCAAATTATGGGATTCACACAATAATTACACCCTGCCATGTACATGTAAGATGAAATGATACATGCAGTGCTTAGTTGGTATATCTAAAAAAAATTGATTAGTTGAATTTTCTGTCTTTTATACATTGGTATGTTCAGTTCTGCTTTCCAACAAAAGCAGAAACAAAACATGTTTTTACAAAAAAAAAAATGAAAAAAGAGCAAAATCAAAAGGAAATCAATTGTTGGCATTTATTGTCTAGGCTTGTGCATTTAGTTATCTTTTACATTTACTCCTAACACGTTGAAATATGATTTTAGAATCCAGTTTTGTAACCTTAATACAGTATGTGGATTTTTTACTTCATTAATTTTCACCTTTGAACATTCAGTTTTGAAAACAAATTCAGTATCTGATATTGGATACATGTAATCAGCACAGCATGTACAAAGTGAGAAGATAATGTCTTAGTGTTCACAGGAAGAGAATTTCAAAAGATGAGCCAGTATTGCAGCAGAGAGAGAGTTCTTGAGTCTAGAAGGAAGTTCCATGGTAGTTTGTGGATAGTGGTTTCTGTGTTCCACAACACAACCACTGTCACTGTAACCACTTTCACAAGTAGACATGGAAAACTTAAGTGTGGGCATGTACCAGTATATTGGACATGTCTTAGTTTGCTACATACTTGACGCTGAACCAGAATTTCATCAGTAAATCAGCCTTCTTTGTAATTTTTTAATCGGCTTTCTTCACTTTGCCTACAAGAAATATCAGGCATGTCGGTTGTCATGTCATTATGCTGACATTCTAACAGTCATTGAAAAAGTCTGTTTTTAATTAATCCATTCTCAATCTGTGTCTTAGAAAAATAGGGAAGGTTATGAATGTTACAAAATCAAAGCTACTGATAATCAGGGTGATAGTTGTCTGGATTTTCCGGATTTTTGGACAAAATGTATTCAGGATTTATTTTTTCATTTGACATGGGGTTGCTGGAACTAGATAGAGTATTTTCCAAATTTTGCACAAAAGTGAATGCAGGACTTGTGCTAAGTAAGGTTTTAACAGTACACACATACTCTTATGTTGTTACTCCCAGTGGAATGTCACAGGATATTACTGAAGACTGAGGGTATGTGGTATTGAACCATAAGGACTCGCCACAGCTTCTTTTTACATATGCACATGGTGCAGTGCATGTGTAAACAGTTACATGTCAATTTTTTACGGAAAATTTCTCAGGGGCCACCTCATGTTTGTTACATGCGGTTTTTCAGTTGTCACATTGATTGATCAAAATAGCTCTTTGTTTGATATAAGTCATTGATCACGGTGGAGATCTCTCAATTTATAAAGGCTTGAAACATCTGTTGAAATTTTTGTGGCTCAAATGTCAGGTAGAAAAAGAGGAAACGAAGGGAAGACGAATATCTTTAAAAAATCAATCCGAAAAGTTGACAAGCAAGGATACTGCAGGTATACGTAGTGCAATAAATTGCACCACTGAATCCTAGAGCCAGTGCTGCAAACATCAGATTTGTGTCCTGTATGGGTATCCTTAAAATCCGATCTTTAATATAAAAAGAAGACTAGACAATGTCTTTCCTCTCAGATTCTCATTAAAGTATGTCATTGATGTCTTTGTGTATGTAGTGGTGCCAAGCAGTTTAATTTTAAAATATTATCACAGGTTGATCATTCTTGACTTCAGAATTCCAATTTTAAGTTTATAAAATGTGCTTGTTTTACCTGTAGGTACGTCCTGCGGTGTGTAATATGGAATACCAAGGATGTCATCCTTGATGAAACCTCCATCACAGGAGAAAAGATGAGTGATATCTACGTTAAGGGGTCAGTATTAGTATTGAGTTTGAAGAAAAGAAGCAGCCACTTATACATTAGGGAAAGTTGTAGTAAAATAGGTGATGAATTCCAATCTTATGAACTTAACCCCCTAACCATGCTAAGTAAGGCCCAGTAAAGTGCAGTTGATGTAATTGTCTTGCGTATTTTGATGCGCTGGGCAATCAACAGTATCCAAACAAACTGCCCCTGTTGCGGCAATGGGAGTTGGTCTCATTGAACAATGCCGCTGTTGGATTTTATGTTGGCTGGCAACCACAAACTCCCTGCCAGGTTTGGGCAAGCTATTTTGACAAATGATGCAGACTGATGTGTCCAGTGGGATTTCTGACCGGATTCAATTGTACCTTGTCAACCTTTGCTTGTACCCTTTTGCAGTGTTAAACCTCGGTACCCTTTTGTATCATGTTAAATTTCCTTTGCTGTTGTGCATCTCAAAGATGCCCTGCCCCAGATACATGTACATGAAATGTAGTTTAATGGTCCAAAATAAGCACACTTGCATAGAAACATATCAATTGCAAAAGCACTATAAAATGAATTTATCCTGTACAGTACATGCCACTGTAATAAGCACAACAAGGCCCTCACGTAATGTTTGTCATATTCAGTTCTGGCCCATTCTTAGTTTTGGCAGCCTGCCTCACAAATGCACCTGCATGAGGAATTTCACCAGTCCTTCAAGCTTACATTCAAAACTACACATTTTAAACACATGGAACACCAGAATTCTTGCATATTGTTCAAAGTACAGTATGTGAACTTCTTTTTCTTCAATATTTCCACCTATTGAGTAGTTCTTACTGGAAGCCAAATAGCAAAGTGAAAGGAGACTTTCTTGAGTCATTGATCACTTTAAAATTGGATGCCAAATGCAGTACGATTACAGTGGTGCCTGCTGCTACTTTGGAACTATACAGTGGAAGGTTGCTGTAATGAACACCACTATACTGAACATTTGGAATACCGAACATCCCCTATGGCTTCCGAAAACTCTATGCACTTTTACTGAGCATTACGTATGTTTCAAATAAAAAAATCATTTAGAACAGTAATAATAACTCAGAGTTCAGGAAAATCCCACTGGCGATGGAACAACGGCCAAACTGTGGTGTAGTCTGAACACGTATCATTTGTGGGTAGTGGCTTACATTGCATATAATGTGCATGTGTCCACAGGTGGCCATGTACATGTAGACTGACTGGAAAAAAAACTGGATATTGTTGCACTCACAGAATCTTGGTTGAGTGGGGAGGAATGTGATGACCATTCACTAGTGGATTTGAAGACCACCCTCCAAGATTTTAAGATACCAGTATACCACACCCCACGGATAAAGCAGAGAGGAGACAGTGTCTGCCTTCCTTGCACATCAGGGCCTGGGGGTCAAGCTGAATAATTGTCAGCATGTGCTTTCATTTGAGTACATGGACACAACCATATCTCATAGACTGT